TGGCATCTGTTTGTTTGTTGAAACATTTCAGTGGGTATTCTGTTAATTCCTGGAGGCTTGCTTTGCCAATTCCTTCAGTGCAACTTTGACTTCTTCCTTGAATACCATTGGTTCTTGATCATATGCCACCTCCTGAAAAAGACGAACATTGACCAATTCTCTTTTGTACAGTGACTCTGGGTGTTCCTTCCATCTTCTTCTGATGTTTCTTGCATCATTCAATATTTTGCCCATAGAATCTTCCAATATTGCAAGTTGAGGCATGAGTCTTTCTTCAGTTCTCTCAGTTTGAAAACTGCCGAGCGTGTTCTTCCCTTTTGGTTTTCTAACTCCAGAACTTTGCTCATTTTATTATAGTAACTGGCTTTGCCTTCTCAAGCTGCTCTTTGAAATCATCTGTTCAGCTCTTTTATCTTGTCATTTCTTCCATTTGCTTTAGCTACTCTCCATTCAAGGACAAGTTTCAGAGTCTCTTCTAAGATCCATTTTGGTCTTTTCTTCCTTTCTTGTCTTTTTAATGACCTCTTGCTTTCTTCATGGATGATGTTCTTGAAGTCATCCCACAATTCCTCTGGTTTTCAGTCACTGTTCAATGCATCAAATCTATTCTTTAAATGGTCTCTAAATTCAGGAGGGGTATTATAAAGGTCATATTTTGGCTTCTGTGGACTTGTTTTAATTGTCTTCAACTGCAAGTTGAACTTGCATATGAGCAGTTGGTGGTCTGTTCCACAATCAGCTCCTGGCCTTCTTTTGGCCAAAGATATTGAACTTCTCCATTGCCACTTGCCACTGATGTAGTTGCTCTGATCCCTGTGTACTCCATCTGGTGGGGCCCACATGTACAGCTGCTGTTTGTGTTGTTGAAAACAGATATTTTCAATAATAAGTCACTGATCTTGCAAAATTCTATCATGCGATCTCTAGCATTATTTCTATCACCAAGGCCATATTTTCCAACTACCAATGATTCTTCTGTGTTTCCAGCTTTTGCATTCCAATCACCAATAATCATCAATACACCTTGATTGCATGTTTGGTCAATGTCAGACTGCAGAAATTGGTAAAAAAAAAAAAAAATCTTCAATTTCCTCATCTTTGCCTTTGGTAGCTGGTGCGTAAACTTGAATAATATAGTATTAACTGGTCTTCCTTGTAGACATATGGATATTATCCTATCACTAACAGCATTGTACTTGAGGACAGATCTTGAAACATTCTTTCGATGATGAATGCCATGCCATTCCTCTTTGTCGTTCTTGGCCTAGTAGATCATATGACTGACTGATTCTAAATAGCCAAAATCAGTCCAGTCTAGGATATCAATATTTATGCAGTTCATTTCATTTATGATAACTTCCGATTTCCCTACATTCATACTTTGTACATTCCATGTTCCGATTATTAATTGATGTTTCCAGCTGTTTCTTCCCATTTTGAGTTGTGCCACATCAACAAATGGAGGTCTCAAAAGCTTTACTCCATCCACATCATTAGGATCGACTCTACTTTGAGGAGGCAGCTCTTACCCCCTCATGTTTTGAGTGCCTTCTGACCTGAGGGGCTCATCTTCCAGAACTATACCAGACAGTGTTTCAGGGCTATTTGTAAAGTTTTCCAGTAACATATCAGACAGTGTTTCACTGCTATTCATAAGGTTTTCACTGGCCAATTCCTTGATAAGTAGATGGGCCCCTTCCTTCTTCCCAGTCTATCTTAGTCTGGAAGCTTCACTGAAACCTGATGATCATGGGTGACCCTGCTTATATTTGAAATACTGGTAGCATAGTCTCCATCTTCACAGCAACATACAAGCCACCACAGTACAATGAACTGACAGATGAGTGGTGGCTCATGGAGGTGGAACCATGGAAATAAGGTATATGGAACCCTAACATTGGGATTAGCCAGTTTTGCCTTCTCAAAACTCAAACCAAACTCACTGCCATCAAGTTGGTTCCATCTCACAGCAACCCCCATTGGGCTTCCAAGGCTATAAATCTGTATGGAAGTAGATCACCCCATCTTCCTCTGTGGAGTGGCTGCTGACCTTCCGGTTAGCAGCCAAATGCCTTATTCACTACACCACCAGAGTGCCTTCTTTGCCATCTCATTAGGCTTAAAATGAGCCATTCCAGAGGCAGAAAAGGAGGATCTCACTAGCATGAAGACCAAGAAGGGCTGGGAGTAGAGTGTGTCCTTTGACCCAAGATCCCTGCACTGAGACGGCAGAAAGACTGTAGCTGGACCAAGAGCCTGGGATGACATGGAGTCGAGGACGTCCTGTTCCATGGAGCGAGAAAGCCAAGTGCCTTCAGGCAGGAGGCTTGCTAGCAGGGTGGGGTGCACCTACTGGCAGAGCCAAAAGCTTTGTAACACTTGGTGGAGCAGGGCAGAGGACTGGCCAAGAGGCCCAGGGCCAAAGAAAGTCACGCCTGCAGGCATGGCTGAGGGGAGGCTGTCCTGATTGAAGAATTGTATCCTGAGTGTTCCCGAACCTGAACAGTAACCGGTTACTTCCCTAATAAACCCCATAACCGTAAGTACTGTCTGCAAGTTCTATGTGGCCGTTGCAGAAAAGTAGTAAGTGCCGTGAGAGGGATGGTTGGAGTGAGAATTGGTAAAACGGTTGGAGAGTGGTGGCATGTCTGACCTTGGCCTCATAGGAATCAGCCCTGTGCTGACGTTGCTAATGGTGAGTCAGCCTCCCCCTCATTAAGTCAGAGGAGGTCAGAGGTCCCTGCCGAGCCCCTTGTGCATGACCCTGTTCCTGTTTGGGAATGACAGTTTTCCCTCGTTATGGTAGTGAGGTCCCGCCAGGGTAGGGGGTCCTAAAACTAATCCTACCTGAGTGTTGTCCTACAAAGGGGAGGACAGACACACAGGGAGACAGATGCCACTAAGGCCCAAGACCCTGACTGGACTTCCAGCCTCCAGCCCTGGGAGAGCCAATGCCTGCTGCCCTGGCTAGGGGTGTGTGGGACCGAGGCCCCATCAGAACAGGCCATCCAGAACTTTCACCAGCAGGTGCAAGGCGCCCCACTCACCTTGGTGGTGAATGAGGCTGTCTTCCCATAGTGGTTCAGCATCTGGTCGAAGTTCAGGTTGTGGTAATCTACCATGTCCCTCTTGATGGTCCAGAGGAAGTATGGGGTTTCATGCTTTACCAACCTGGACTGGTAAGAGAAGCCCTATCAGGACCCTGCATTCAGTCCACACCTTTACCTCAGCTGGGGTGCAAGAACGGAAGGTGAGATGGGGAGGCACCCCCACCCACCCACCTCGTAGCACTTGCTAGATCCTGCTAGCCCTCACACAGAGACACAGAGTAGATACAGTCTGCCCTCCACCTGAAGACGCCTTGCCCCCATCATGAGCAGGTCCCATCTGTGCTTCCGGCTCTGCCCCACCTCGGGGCACCTCTGCCATCATCCCCAACATGAGACTGTCGTCCCCGCACCCCACAAGTGTGAAATCAGCAGCCTACCATCACATCATGGATGTCGTCCATCTTCTCCAAAGTCAAGTCTGGGTTCTCTTTGGGCTCAGCACCTATGCTGTCTGCAAACAGAACACAGGGCCAAAGGTCAGGGATGTAAGGTCTGAGCCCCAGCTCACAGGCAGATCCCACCCCCTCAGGGCGGTGCCCCTCTGTAAGGGCAGCCCCACCCTGACCACCTGAGTCAGGCTTATAGCACGTCCACCGAGGGCACCAGGTGGGGGGGGGGGCAAGACCCTAGAGTAGCATGCTCATTGCCCTGAGCCCAGACTGCAGTGCCGGTATGACGACAGTGAGGGGACTGTGGAGGAGAGGCGGCCCATGGAGAAGGGGCAGCCCATTAGGAAGGGGTGTCTAATGGGAGAGGGGGCAGCCCATGAGGGACAAGGGTCTAACAAGGGGCATTCCATCCAGGGAGGGGCGTCCAATGCTGGGGAGAGGCCTCCCGTTGAAAAAGAGCAGCAGAAATTGTCCAGACAGAATGAGGCCTGGCCTGGGCCTATACGAGGAAGGAAAGGATGAGTAAGGCTTGGACACAGAGCTGGAAGACCCCAATACCCCCAGGAGAGTCAAGCATCACAGTCCCGGATGGGGTCCACGTCTTGTGCCTGCCACAGAGTGCACCCCACACGTCCTACAGAAGACATAACTTCTTAAATACTCTACCCGTTACCCCTTCACTGTCGTCCTCCATGTGCAGAGTGCCCTTGGGCACACAGTGGAACTTCTTCTCCACCCAGCCCTTCCTGCGCAGAGCAGCCCGGACCACTGGGTAGTGTCCGTAGATGGAAAATATCTTTTTCTCCTAAAATCATGAGAACGTATTTTAAACTAAGGAATTGAAAAGCAGGCTGATTACTTCCCTGCAGAAGTGCTCAGAGTGCGATGAGACAGACTCCCTGCCCTGTGAAGGCACTGAAGCTCCACAGAAACTCCAGAACACGTGGCGACCAGGGCTCAGGGGGGTGGGCGGG